GAAACCCTAGATCTGAGCTAGGGTTTAGGGATCTTTGCGGCTAAAACCCTAGATCAAGGTAGTGCTCTCGATCTCACCCCAACTGATCGTGGTTTATTTGATTACTTACCAATTATTTCTAATTTTTTGTTGATTTTTATTATGAATATGCATTAGAGTATGGTGATTTTAATGGGTTCTTACCAATTATTTAGCAATCCTAACAATGCGTATTGCTAATGGCAGTCACTGATTGCAATTATAGGTAAAATTTGAGGTTATCCTCTTTATTCGAGCAAGAAGAGCTTCTCTCATCTCAAAGGTATGGCCATTTTTTTTGTCCTTTCCATTTTATTGTGATTTTAGTTGATTGAGTGGCCTTAGTTTTATGGCATAATTTTGGATTTTTTGGAGATGCTTTTATGTGAAATTACTTTGTGGATTTTTGTATGATTCCCGTTTGGTTGACTAGTATATCGGAGAGCTAATGTATTATGCTTAATTTTTTATGTATTACTTTGATAAAATCAGGAGAGAAAAGAGTTAAAAAGTAATCATTATCCAGAAAGAGATTTGGTAAAGAGAACACGAAGCATTTATAGGAACTGCTATAACATAATTTTTAGGGTAGTAGGCATTTTGATCAGCAAGCTCCCTTCCATGGCTCTGAGAGAATAACACTCTTAACAAGGAAAATATGATGAGGACCTTGCCTCCCTCTTTGAGCCTCCATTGTTAACAAGCTCAGAGAGCTGAGAGCAAGAAAAGGAAGGGATGAGGAGGTGGTATGAGGAGAGGAGAGAAGAGTGGGAATACACTTATAAATTCTACTGGGGAGAGCTTTAGATTTGTAGTCTTTATTTCCATTTGTAAGTATCGCACGAAATAAATACAAATGCAATATACCTGAGAAAATTTGATATGATGAGCAATTATTTGTATATTTCCTCTGAAGTAATGAAGTATTAGTTGTCCATGATGTACAAAAAATGAGCATGTAAGGTGTGATAAATAGCGAATATGGTGGAATCTAAAAATGTGAAATTGTAGTACATAAGCTGCAGAATGTGGTATTTGTTGTGTGTAGATAGCTTTGAAAGTTTGCTCACAAGCCTTATAAAAGGCTTCAACTTTAACAAATATCTGTGTTCAGTGGCATTATTGTATCATCTATTTGTGGATAATCTGTAAATATACTTGCAAACTAACAAAATCAGAAACCCAACAATTATTTGGTTAATATTCTTTCCTTTATAGGGAAACTCATTAATATTTCAAAGGATTTTTGGCAGTAATTGAACAACTTCGGAGTCTCTAGTTTCCCCTCTTTTATGTCGGTTTTAAACCCTAGAACAGTTAAACCTATTCTTAACTTTGACATGAGTTCGTACTATTAACTTTGCATTTGGTCCTTTTTGCATTTCCATCCAAGTGGTAAGCAAAAGAGAATTTTGTTTTTGGATTACATTGCTATTACTAATTTGAAGTTACTCTTTTTTTGGGGTCTGCATTTAATTTTCTTATTTAATTTTAGCTAGATGGAATAAGGGCTTAATATGAATCCTAGAAAACCTTCATGCATATGGACTGGAGGTTCGTCACTTTTTGGGTTATCAGCATGATTTCAGAAATATAGTTGAGTCGGTTACTCAAATTAAGAACAAGCAAGTTTAGATTATTTGTTTCTTGCAGTCTGGATTGTCGAACAGTATCAGCTCACCCCGAAGTACCATATAACTGTTTACTATGCTTAGCTGGTCGAATGATGTGCAATCTTGAAATTCTATATTTAGCATGGTTTAAAGATAAGGTGAACTATATATGTTATTAAAGGGTCTACGGAAATAGTCTTGCTTATTGCTGGGTTGGAAATTAATGAAGGATTTGAGATGTATTAGGAATTTGTATATTTGTGTTCATTAGTTTACTTTGAAGAATGAGCATAATCTAGTTGTTTTAGATATTTCAGGAAACTGCAACTATTATGAATATGTTTCTCTGATGAAGAACTTTGAATGGCCAATATGCAAACATTAATTTTCGTATTGTCCATGTGCCAGATATGATATAGATATCATACTTTTGTGTCTTCTGTTCCATTGTTATATATCATTGTGAACCTTTCTTAATTAAGTGGTAAAAATGATATTACTGTTGCAATATTAGCTCTCTACTCCCAAGTTGTTTAGTAGTATTTCAAGAGCATTCTATATGAAAGTGAAACATATATCATTAGTCATTCTCCTAGTTTGAGTGAGACATGCACACAAATCTTGTGCCGAGCTAAGATTCTATATTGACATCTCTAAATTTGCTGGATTCTTTTTGCGCATAATCACTCTCCATGTGTGTATATATCCTTCATTTCTTGCCAAATATTCAGTTATCCATATTTTATGGTTTCATTAAAATTTGTTTAATCTCACTACATATTTTTTTCCCATTACTGAGTATAGTTACTTCTATTTCTTCTTTAGGCTCTATTTGGATTGAGGTGAATACGGGAGAAGGGAAGGTAGGATAGACATTCACCCTGTCTGGGTAGTTTTTATGGGGGTGAAGAGTCCCTCCTAGTTCAACCCCCAACAATACAAAAATTGTTCGCCCCAAAATTGGGGTGTAATGGAGGAGAAGGGAACTCCCTTAACTCCCTTCTCTTCTCTCCTCTATTTCCCTTAACTTCCCTTACCCCCAATGAAATCCAAACACACCCTTAGACAAGCTCTAGTAGTTGATAGTTCTTATTGATCATTGTTATTTGTCAATTGGAGTTTGGGCTTAACTACAGTTTTCCCATGAATAACTTGTACAGTGTCAAAGATAAGACCATTTTGATATTGATATAAGTTGCAATTATCTATCTTGAAAGGTTGAATTCAATTGAAGTACCTAAAACTTCACTGCAAAGGCAATCCTAACAGAATCCTTGGCATGAAGCTTTATTTATTCTTCATTTCATTTTTTCTTCCTTGGGAATGAAGGCACATGGTTGAGTAACACAATGATACATTCTTTTGTAATAGTTAGTGGAATGTCACCTTTCTATGTGTATTTTTGTGTCATAAACTAATTGATGCTAAATTGTGCAATGTAGGATCCAAAAAGTTCTTCGAGACATGAAGTTGAGAGCGGAGAAGAGAAAGGAGGGGGAGAAAGAATGATGTCTTGTTTCTTGATCCATTATTAACATCTCTCAATACTAAGGATATGCAATGGTGATATGTTATTAGATACTTGGTCTGTTTGTGGAGTTATCTTCATTTTGTTGTCAGTCTTGAAAGTTAAGGTGGATAATGGATCTAAAAACTTAGTAAATGTAGTGATCGTTGCTCAAAATAGCTAGTTTTACTCTTTTTTTGTTACTATTTGACACATCTCATTGCATTTGATTAAAAGAAGAGGAGTTAAGAGGGTAAATTTTCTTAAAATACTAATTTGAAATCCAAATTCATATATAATAAAGAATCCAAACACTACGCTTTAAAATCAAAGATTTCAAATCCTTTCATTCAATAAAGACATCCAAACAAAGGATTAATCAAATCATGGATTTCAAATCCTAGATTCAATTGAATCAACCTCCCAAATCCAGATCTCATTTTCGAAATGCAGCCTAATATTAAAATATAAGTTTTTACCTATGAGGGAATAGGGATAAATGATGAATATCAATCCAGATCTATTTAGGATAGCGGAGCAAATATTTAGTCTATTTAGGATCCTACCCAATAATGTTCAGTTCTTCTTTCTCCACTTCAGTACCTGCCCTAAAATTTCCAGTTGACCTTAAAATCTCTCTATCTCATTCAAATTTGTTCCTTCTCGTCGCCGTGACGCAGATTTCAGCGTCGCGGCCGGCATCAAAATCTCAAGGTATTGCATTCAATTTTGATATTTTTAGGGTTTTTATTTCAAATTTGGTGATATTTTTGATCTATTGAACTATAGATCTGAATATTTTCACTTGTTTCTTCTTTCAGGAGCTAACATTTGGTGACCTAAGGTCAATTACTTCTCTTTCTTGATTTTCAAAGATGCTTCTTGAAATGTGATTGGTATTTCAAGGAATTTTGTATTAAAATAAAATTTGAGAATGTCTGCTCTAAAACTGAGCATTTGAAAAAATTCAAGTTATTGCTCTTTGGATGCCATGTAAACTGATTGTGCTAACAATTTTGGGTTTTGGCAAATATCCCTCAATTTTATGAGCATTTTCTAATATATATTACCATATTGGTATGATTAACATGAAAGTAGACCAAGTCTATGCAATTATCTTGGTACGGAAACGTCCACTAGCACATTGGTTTCCATTTCTCATGGAATCTTGAGTCAAATCTATTATTTGATGTGAGCTGTACATGAATGTAGAGAGAGGAAACTTGAATTTGTCTGGTTAAACTAGGTTGCAAGTGGGTTAGAGTTGAGTAGTGTCTTGCTTGATCCAAACTAGATGTTTGTACCTAATTTGATCTATCATGACAGGGATTGATTTTGTCTGTGACTTGAGTCATTCTTTATGATTTTTAATCTCTCAGTGAAGGCCCTTATATATCCTTGTATCTAATAAGGAGGTTGTGTAGGCGTACTGATAAATCAAGGGCATTAGGATCCTATCTTGCACAGGCTTTATGGTCAGTAATGGGCATTTAAGTAACCTGAGTGTTCACTCCATCTAAAGCCTTCGCTAACTAGGGGTAAAAAGCAAAAAAGTGGATGACAAAATTAAACTGATTTCTCTTTTCTTTGCAGTTGAAGGTATCAAGATCCACTATTTCAAATGTTTACACAAGTATGATAGATGTACAAGAGTGACTCCACAGTATTAAGGCTAACTGGGATATCATTCATTTCTTTGTCAAGTAGGAACACAAAATTTAAGTGCCGTTGACAAATCTTCCTTCTAATATTGAGATAATTCTGTTCTTTCTTGTATAAAGTTTCTTGTACACAAATGACACATGCCAAAAAATCTAGTGACTGTACTCTCAACTTTAGGAAACTACCATCTACATCAACTTCAATCTTCTACATGCTTTCCTAATTCCAATATGTTAACATATGTACAAAGGATGTTAAATTTAAAAATTTATTATCTCAAGATTTAGGTACTCATCTAAATTTGATTGATAGAAACCTTGGAATAAGGTTAATTGAGCCACATCACATGTACTAAATGCAGTCATCATTGGCTTATACTTTCTATTGGATCTTTTATACTTCCCGTCCTGACGAGAAGGGGATACACGTATTTTGTTCTTTCCCTCATACTTGGTCACTTTAAACAATATGGGGCATTATGAGCCTAGATGTGACTTTGAGTAGAAAGCTAATTTATTTACTGGTTTCTTATCCTTTCTTTGCTCTACTAATGCATGCCTATAATTTAATTTTATGCAAACCATTGTTCTGGTACTTTCGCTAATAGTTGGAAGTGTTAATTTCTGTTGTTTCAGATTTTGACTATTGTTTTGCCTTCTTGAGGCTTAATAATGCCCTCTTTCAAGCTTGGAGGGAGGAAAATTTTGATTACTAAATGTTGTTCCAGAATTATCTTCACCTAAATTTCATGTTTTTGACTATTTGTTAGAGATGGTTTAAACCCTGCTTCTAACTTTACAGGATGTTTCCTCAAGAGAATAGAAAGTAGTGAGCATATGGGCTAGGGAGTTTCTGCTATTAATGAAAGAAACAACACTTCCTATGTTATCACAGCAGAATATGGATACCAATACATGTTAGTTTCGAGACTAGATTAGTTAAAATGTCAAGAATGGAATTTCCAAAGCGGCATGTGATTGTTCTTCTGACCTTCATCTGTACGAATGTTTGCTACATCGAGCGCATGGGCTTCTCAATAGCATATACTGCCGCTGCAGATGCCATTGGCGTTGATCAATCTAGCAAGGGTCTGATACTTTCTACATTCTACTGGGGATATGTTGTGTCACAAATTCCTGGTGGATGGGCAGCACAAAAGATAGGGGGAAGACGAGTTCTGCTTCTATCATTTGTATTTTGGTCCCTGACATGTGCTTTAATCCCATTGGATCCCAGCCAGGTTTACTTACTGGTAATTGCCCGATTGCTTGTTGGGGTCGCACAAGGCTTTATCTTTCCCTCTATCCATACAGTTCTAGCACAATGGGTTCCTCCCCATGAACGTTCAAGATCTGTATCCCTCACGACTTCTGGGATGTATTTCGGTGCAGCTGGTGGCATGCTTCTTCTTCCAAGTCTTGTAAAATACCGAGGTCCACAGTCAGTATTTTTGGTTGAAGCTGCATTAGGTGGTCTTTGGTCTATCCTGTGGATGAAATGTGCGAGCGACCCTCCTCGTTCTGATCATCCGAAGGCAACAGCTGCTGGTTTTGGGGAGACTTTGTTGCCAGTAACAAAGTCAAAGGAAAAGGTGAAGGCTGGTGTAAGTTCTCTTCGAGCAGCTAAGATCCCATGGAAGAAAATTATCTTTAGTTTGCCAGTTTGGGCAATTGTGGTGAATAATTTCACGTTTCATTATGCCTTGTATGTGCTTATGAACTGGCTGCCAACATACTTTGAGCTTGGTCTTCAGCTTAGCCTTCAGGATATGGGTTCATCAAAGATGCTGCCTTACCTTAACATGTTTATATTTTCCAATATAGGCGGAGTTATAGCAGATCATTTAATCACAAGAAGAATACTGTCTGTGACCAGGACTCGTAAACTGCTGAACTCCGTAGGGTTTATCGTTGCTTCCTTTGCTTTAATGGCGCTCCCTATGTTCAGAACTTCCACAGGGACTGTGTTTTGTTCTTCAGTTTCTCTAGGTTTTTTGGCTCTTGGAAGAGCTGGATTCGCGGTTAATCATATGGATGTTGCTCCAAGATATGCAGGGATTGTGATGGGAGTTTCTAATACAGCAGGGACATTGGCTGGTATAGTAGGTGTTAGTCTTACAGGAAAGATTCTTGATTCTGCTAAGGCTGCCAATGTGGATCTCTCGAGCCCTGAGAGTTGGAATTCAGTATTCTTCATTCCAGGATATCTCTGCATAATCAGCTCTATCTTTTTCATGATTTTCTCGACAGGGGAAAGAATTTTTGACTAACATACTTCACAGTGGGCATTTTTTTTTTACCAGAGGCCCACTCTGGCAAATTCCTGTTAAGATCATTCTTCAGTTAGATGATATCACCATCCTATATTGGGATATTGATTTCATTTTTTTAATTCAGTTGGTGTAGCTGTACTTTGGAGCATAGTTTGTGATGGAACAAGCTTAAGAAATGCAATCCACTTAAACAGCTATATCAAGGCTGAAAATTACAAGAAGTTCATGGAAATCTATGTTGTTGGTTTTTTGTATTCTTGTGTAACTACATTTGTAACACTCAGTTTGTTTGCTTTTATGTCTGGATGCTTTACGCTTCATCAAGAAAATAAATTGGCCTCAAATACATGGGCTTCCTCTAATGGACGCTTATTTTGCTGTAACTTCTTTAATATCGAAAATATCAAGCCTTAGTGACGACCTTATCAAGGTGAAGTAGTTGTGATTTGTGAAAGAAAGTGTATGACCGTTGCCGTTCCATATCAACACGGCACGGTCAATATTTATGCAGGACGAGCCTTGCTGCTGCTGGTGGACTCAAGCACACTCTCAGTAGCCTATTTTGGGCGTATCTGCACTTTCTATGATCCTCTATAAGTTATTCTTGGCCATCAATAAGGTACTCTTTTTTTTGGGATTTCTTCTGCTTTGCTCCTTTTCAATTTAAGTTTCTTGCTCATGAACTGAGTTCTGCAGCTCGGTGACAGAGTTTTGGCAAATTGATTAGGAAAAGAAGAGAAATTTGAATAATATGCTATAGTATATGTTTAAAGTAATTTTATGACAACTATATTGCTTTTGCAAATCATGACACTTACAATGTCTTCAACTAGATGAGATACCTAGTAGTGTCTTCAAACAGGTTGGCATACTGTAAAGAAGGGGTTATCTCCTTTCATTATCTTCGACTGGATAGAGTTTTATGATAAGCAGGATATTCAATTTTATCGTTATAATCAACCTTCAATTTTGCTCAATGTGCGTCTGTGCTGTCAAGTGTTAACTGACGATGATCCATCTTCCACTACGCATAACTTCATCAATCTTCATCCATCCTACCTCTTTAGTGAAAATAGTAGGGAAGTAAACCAAACATTATCGTTTCAAGTTCTTTCATCTTGAGTTTATTGTGTTTTTTTTCCCTGTTTTATTAGAGGGATTCTTAGATTTCCCTCCAGTCATGTACTCAGATGTTACATCCATCAATGAAACACACATCGATATCTTCCGCCGAATCTACTTTCTGCTGCCTCTGCATATAAACTTTACTTAAAAAGCTTTTAGTAATTTCTTATCATTTCCAAATGATATCTGTAAATTGTATGGGATACTTTTCGCAATTGCCAAATCCGCCGCTGGCAGGTACCAAGGAAGGAAGCTCTTTTTGCTGGTAATTGTAATTAAGTTCCTCAAATCACTAGAATAAATTCTGTGAGCCCTAGAGCTTAGCAGTACAACTCTAGATGTACTTCACAAGCTCAAGCTCATTATTTCATTGGGATAAAGCTTCTAGCTTTATCTATAGAGTAGTGATAACTACACTACTATTTCTACACTACTACATTATGAGAGCGAAAAGTGTGGAGTTTGTTCTCTTCAATTTTTTTTTTAAATTGATGACCTATTAAGGAAGCCCACACTTCTTCCCCATATAGTGTAGAAGTAGTGTAGGAGAGAGTAGTATAGTTATCATTATTCTCAAGGTTATAGAAAGTGTTAAGCGGCCTAGGCGTTAGACCTGGCGTCTAGAGCCTAGGCGCCTAGCCGGTTTTACTTTTCTTATTTTTTGGTTATAACAATTGATAGTAAATGCAAATGTTATAGAAAGCATGGATGCCAAATCGATCTAGACGGATTTCTTTCTTTGTTTAAGTGGTGGTGGAGGTTTTGCTGTAAGTCGGAAGAAATAGAGGTGTTAATAGTTTGGGGCTGGAGGATGTGGAGTCTGCAATAGAGGAAATAAGAGGAAATAAGGATCAAGGCCTAAAGGATGTAGTCCATATAAGTAGCCCACACTCCTCTAGACGCTTTTGGACAATATAGGTACCGCCTAGGTGCTAGGCGTTAGGCGGGCATCCTAGTACCACGTAGGCCTAGACGGACTAGGCGCATGCTTTTTGAAACATTGATTATTCTTATATGTATAGTCAAATTATTGACAACTCTAGGATGAATTTTGGAGAAATATAATCTAAATCATCAGGCATCGGATTGTTGGAGAAATATAATCGACACAAAGGTGCCTCTCACTTATGATTTGGTGAACTAATACTAGACAAAAAATCTCCTAGAAACAAAGAGTTGATCAACTAATGTAAGAATTTAAAGCTTATTTTCTTTAGTGATAACTGTTAATTTTGAGAAGTGGATGCTAGATGGTCAAGTTAATTGACTACTTTCAATCATAATGAGCACCTCCTCTTCTGAAAAGTCATGCTCTCTTACATTGTTTTTTTCCCCTTCTTCCAATTTTATCTTTCATATGTATCCAGTCATTTGATCTTATGTCTGATTATTCAAATGGAAAAAGGTGACAGACACCATTGCCATCAGATGACTATAGACACTGGAATAGAATACTCACATGGGTAAGATTGAACCAGAGTCTTTTTCCCTCCATGTTCTATCTGATTTCTCCATCATTGCCTTTAACAACTATCATCCTCCTTATCATTTGGAGTATGTACTTGTGGAGATTGATGCATCTTTTATCGTGTGATTCAAACCTTTCCAACTTATGAGAGTCACCCACAACATTAAGGAATGGCTTTGCTTGCTATTCCTTAAGAATTAATCATCATTTCATTCACAAACCAAGTAGTACTAGTACCAACTCAGACACAACACGCTTCTTCAAGCTACATCTCAAACATAAGTATGGATGCTTCCCCCAAATGCAAAAAAACAAACAAGTCTTAGAAATACTAACCCCTCCCACTCTTCTATATGTGGAGAGAAGCAAACATGCTCCTGGTAGCACAACACAAATAAATATAAGTAGTCCTTTTATATAGCAGCTACAGCCTGGAACCTAGGCTCCTTTTCCTCAAACTTCTGCTTGATGTATACTGACATGTAGTCGCCAAACACATATTTTGGGTACTCAGCCGTCTGCGAAGCTGGAGCGATGGTTGCGGTTAGCGATGGGTTGTAAAATGATGCAATGGAGCGGCGGTTGCCATCAGGCTTGGCTAGCACACGGTGCCATGCACTCTTGTACTTTCCATTGCTCAGAACTTCGATTTGGTCTCCAGTGTTTATGACAATTGCATTAGCAATAGGTTGAACATCGATCCATTCATTGTCTTTGAGGCATTGTAGGCCACCGACCTCATCGTCCTGGAAGAGAAGGATGACGCCTCCGGCATCAGTGTGGGCCCGGAGTCCTGGCACCCTGTCTGGGTGTGGGCATGGAGGGTAGTGGCTCACCTGTTTGTAGACAAGATGTTAGAACTAGAAAATTTTCACTTTAGGTTATAATTTTATATAGTAGCTGACGTCCACAGGTTTAACAATCTTTTCATGGACTGAAACATGGACTTACACAAAAGTATCTCTTTTTTTTCTTTTTTGGTACGCATAAAATGCACGAGTCAACCTGGGTTGCTCTGATATCATGTTATATCATGTTAAATGACATTTTGACTACACCACAACTCCAATTTTATGGTGATGATCGAGAGTTTTGTTTTTATATTCTAATACTTACCTTTGTACCGAAAAAGGGGTGATCATTGCCAGTAAATGCTCGTTTGATATAACCTTTGTCGAGGCCAAGATTCTCATCCATGACCTCCATTATCTTCTCGGCCAGCTTCTTGAGTTCCTGCCTGTACTCCTTCATCGTTTCCCTGTACTCAGCAAACCTTGATGCTTTCAGAATATACACCTCTTTAAGAATTAAATTTCTATTGAGCTTACTTGAATTCTGGTGGGTTTGATGGCCACTGGTTGTCATCCTGCAGGGTGAAAACATCCTCCCAGTCGAGATCATCCAGCTTCTTCTCAGTGTCGCTGCTGTCCAGAAGTTCAGTCAGCAACTGAACAGGCTTGGAGTCCTTGAACTGTGCCTCCCTCTCCGTCTTGTAGCAATCAGCGCAGACTTTCTTGACGCGCTCGAGAAGCTCATCAGGGATGCCGTGGTTCACAAGCTGCAACGTTCAGGTATGTTACTGTTTTATGTTCTATTTCTCATCTCAACAATCTCATGAATACATACTAAGAGAGAAGACGAGAAACGAGTGTATTCACAGGAGGTCAGAGGAAACTCATATTGAGGACAAATCGAGATAAACTGATTGAGATGGTTTGGTCTCGTGTAATGGAGGCCAGAAAATGCATCTTCGGTGACGTGATAAGATTATAATTAAGAGAACTTAGCTAGCTGGAAAGAACTAAGAAGAAAATCTTAAAAGTAGAATTGAATGGAAGAATAGAATTTCATGTAGCTTGCCCCAAGAATTTAGGAGAAAGGCTTTGATGTTTGTCATATCAAAATATAAGGTATAAGATATATTACCTGAAAGAATCCCCATTCTTCGCATCCATTTGCAAGCCGGGCGAGAGTTTGAGCTCTCTCATCGCCGTCAAGCTTGGAGAAGTCGATGACTGGAACCACCATTTTCGAAAAGAGAGGGATGGTTGTGTTGAGAAACTAGGAAATTAAGGTTGTGGAAGTGTTTGGTATGAAAGGAGTATTGGAGCTGATGGTGCAGAGGTGGTGAGGTGTTGAGGGGGGCTTTATAATGCAGTGGCAATGCATGTCAACAGTTATTTTAATCAAAGAGGGAGGCGAAAATTGAGAAAATTAAAAAAAAGGACGGCATAACCGTGGACGGTGTTGATTGAGTGAGTTTTAAAATTTGGGGTGGTTTGGGTTAAGAATTCAATGGTCAATGCAGGGTTGGATCCCCCCCAGATGAAGCATTGTTCATCAGGTGAGACTACTTTTTATTATTTGAGTGTAGTGGTTTGCCCTCTGACTTGGTAAAATAGCCTATATTAGATTTTTTTAAACTACAGCTTGCATCTACACCCTTCATATTTTTAATGACGTGTATCTGTGCAACTGTACCTCTAGTCTTCGCCCTGGAATAATGTGACGAGAGGATTAATCATGTAAAAGTGCTGAACATGAGCTTAGGGGGCTCAAGTTCTATCTTAATGTCACTTGATATATCAAAAAAGTTCTAAGTTTCGATTTCGAAAATTTACTTTGCTAGCTTGTCCTAGACATTGCATTTACTTGAGACAAAATGCAGTTACACTCTTAGATTAATCACAATGGCAAGGGTATCTTGACATGCCAATGGATGATGGAGCCTTGGGCTCAGCATGGTCCATAGAAAATCAGAACTGGTTCAGGCTGATGTAATGATTGATATCAACCCTTATCCTTATCTTATTGCGGTTGTATATTTTGTATGGTATGCATCCATTTCATGACTAGTTCTTTTTTTTCCTAACAATTTTATTTCATTTCTTTGGAGTGTGAATATGTCCCTTTTGTTCTCTTTGGATTTTACTGGAGGGGGCATGCTTTCTTAACAATTTTATTTCATGACTAGTTCTTTTTTTTTCCCCTAACAATTTTTATATTGTTTGGTGGATCAGAGTTGAGGTGAAATCTTGTGTATTTTTTTGTTTGTCTTTGCATGGAGATATTCTACCAAGTGGAGAGGTAATAATGAGCATTTATCTATGGGTACTAATTTCTGCTTTTTCTTCACTCCTCTTGTTCTTCTGCAACCAAACAGCTCCATTTCTTGCACCTCAAATTTGAATTTTTATTATGCTTAGCATTCCAAGTCCTGATTTTGAACTTTATGCAGGGGAATTCTGCATGAAGCCAGAGTTTTAGGTGAGATTGGTTGCACAAGCACATTAAAAAGTAGGTTGTACAGAACTTTTCTTAGAAAAAAAAAGTGTCTCTATTGAATTTTAGTAAACAAACAGTGCTATAAAATTTAATGCCGGCACTGAAAAAGAATATCATTATGGTAGCAATTTTAGTAACTTGATGGGTAAGAATTTAAGAAGGGCAAAAATAATAGAATAAAAAAATAAGCAAATATAATTCTATATATTTTTATTTATTTTATGATCACCATCAACATGAACTCATGACCTTGTGTGTTGTTTTGGGTTGTATCTACTCCTCTATACAAATGAGTGAACCCAAAATTCACTATTCGTACTATAGCAATGATACAGTAACATTATTACTGTAGCAAACATGAAACTGGGAACTGCGAACTTTATGGGAAAATATTGCTGTAGCATACGCGGATACTGTAGCAAGTGAGGGATGCTGTAGCAACTAAAAAATTCTAAAAAGTAGCAATTAAACAGGAATTACTGTAGCAAAAAAAAAAAAAAGGGGTCATGCTTTGCACGGTGTTCACGCTAGTAATTTAAGATGACAAAAACAAGAACATATTTTCCTTCAAACATGAAGTTCAGAAGCATTATGAAGGAAACATGTAGGTTGGCAAATTTGGCAGGTATGAAGGTCCCTTGACAATATTTATTAAAACATTTGTCACATAATTGCTACACCTACAATGTTCGAGAGATAACTAAGAGCATGGAGATTGAGATGGGCAGGGATGGACGCAAATGAACTATGGCCCTACTTGTTTATCGAACATTCGTTATATAGCTTTAATATGGAGATATCCTCAGATTTTGATTAAGGGGTTGTTTGGTTCAATTTTTGTAAAAACGAGGAAAAAGAAAAGAACTTAAACTTTGATTTCCTTGTATTTCTATAAAATTTGTAGGAAAAATTTTATAGAACTCAAAAGAGTACCATATTTCTTATTTTTTGCTATTTCTTTGTTTGGTACAAAGTATGAAAAAGTTTCTAACTTAATAGAAAATATGTTGTTTTTTTTTCTTTTGTTTGGTTGGATGCCACTTTATAGAAAATAGGTTACTAACAATGCCCATAGGAAATCACATGGGAAGGATACTGATGTTCTTAATTATTTTTTTAATATATGCGTCAGATTTATGGGTGATTTTTACCAATTTTAAGCGGAAATTGATTTCTATAAAATGAGGTATTTTCCTGTACTTTATAGAAAACTTTTCTGTAAATTTTTTTTGAACCAAACACAGTTTATAGAAATCTTCAGAAAAGTTTTATTTACAAAACTGTCACTATCAGCCATTTTCCATAAAGTTTTCTATAAAACCACTCAACCAAACAGCCCCTAAGAATAAGAAGAACGTGAATTTTTGGTAGAATGCTTACCTGTAATTGGACATATCACATGTTCTAAACCAAAGTACAATGTATAGGAAAGTTCATTTGAATAATATTAAAAATAAGTAAAATTAACCCACGCGATGATATTTTCTTTACAAGTTATGTTATCCGAATATTCAATTTAATTAATTTCTGATTTGACATTCAAATGCAATTAGACTTTCTGCTAGCTTATGAATTCATGCTGGTGGACACCAATTTTGTAAAAATCCTAAAGTCAACGCCTAACACGCGTTGCCGGGTAGTCTATTCCCGTGAGAAAGACGAAGTCTACGTATTCAATATCGTAGCACTAAGAGCGTTAACTCTCTTAGCACAGCGTCACATGCGGAACGGACTTAAACAATCCGCATGCTAGCCCGACTCAAACGGTAGTCGGTAAAGGCTTATCAAATCCGTTGATGGCTGAGGATTTGCCAAAAATTCTATAACTGCGAGTCATTGATGCATCAACTCCACTAGTTGGTCTCGTGACTTGAGCACCCAACAAATTCAGGATAAAATCCACACATGCAGATGAATCAACTTTAACAGTTGGTCCTGCAACCCCAACGTTCGGGACTGCGATGCTCCAATACCTTAAGAGCTTAAACTGTGTATACTCCAGCAAACGTACGAGTATAAACTGTGTTAATGGCGATCCGTAAACCCTAGGGTCAACGCCGGTCAACGCGTAACCCTAGGTCAACGCCAAGCAATGCGTTGCAATCAGAGTCAACGTTCGACAATTCGAAACCTTAGGGTGGACGCCGGTCAACGCGTAGCCCCAGGTCAACGCCATTGCAAGCGAAAGTCAACGTTCGACGATTCGAAACCCTAGGGTGGACGCCGGTCAACGCGTAGCCCTAGGCTTTATCTTTGAGATTTTGTCAGAGCCCCCATGCGAAGCGTAACCTTTGGGGTAAACTTAAGAGATGTTTTTAAAGTTACGGGGGTTTATGTGCTAATCGTCCAAAGTTAAGGAGGTTTATTCCGATATTTAGTTATTACTTTACAACCCATTAAATAGCTATCTACTGCTGATCTAAGCTTAGGGCGTGTTTGGTTGCCTTTTTTAGAGGGGAAATAGGTTGAAAGCCTGTCAAAAGTGTCAGTTTTGACAAACTTTCTTGCAAAAACGTTTCTAAAAAAAACGTTTTTGTAAGAAAGTCTGTCAAAGCTGATACTTTTGACGGGCTTTCCCCTTCCCTCTTATGCAAACAAACAGCCCCTTAGCTTAAAACTGACATCATTTGACTATTTATAGAGGGAACCATATATACTAACCTCCTTTACTTCGTTTATTTTCAAAATTCTCCATGATTGCAACAGTTTGTACCGGCTGTTTCCATCTCCACGTGCCACTTGACTTGCTAATTACGCAAGCGTAGCCGAGGTTAATAAAGTCTTGATGCGTTATAAACCACAACATTAACAACATGTTTTATGTTGCGAAATAGGAATTATTTTTGTAATCAATGATTAAGGCGACAAATCTCGAGGGCAAATGTTGGAAGTTGGTTAGGCAAAGTCCGCCGACGTCCTTAATTAAGGCAAAATTATGGAGAACCCCCTGACTTTCTTAACACATTTTTTCCCAACCCTCTGACATTGAACCGTATGTTCAATTGTATATTGACGATTGTAGATCGTTCCAGATTGAACGGATATGGTATATGTTATTCTCAACAATGAATATAATTGTCTAAATTTATATTAAAGGTTATGATTAAAAAAGTGAACTCTTGACTAATTTGCAGCAAATTATATTCGATTGTTATACCAGAAGTTTGCACCCGTTATTGATTGTTAATGCTGCGTTTATAAATAAATAGAACCGTGTGCCTCATGAAAGATGTATTTTATTTTATTTTATTTTTTTCTCTTATCACGTATATGTAATATTGTATCTTATCTCTCCACTTCTTGATTGGATTCAACCCAAGGAAGTTGGGGAAAAAAAATTGTTTTAAAGAAAAAAGAAAAAGGGTTTATGTTAAATAAGTTCCTAATTGACTAATTAGTTTCGATTTATTAGTGCTAATTCCCTTTGACTTTTGATCACATGGAGTGTATCAATGTAACATGACCTCAAACAGAATGCTACCCGCTTGATCCCCGCCATATTCTACGGCTTAATCAAGCCAAGTCTATTGCGGCGACCTTCGTGATAATTTCAACCGCGAAAATGCCCAGAAAATAAAATAATAATACCCCTTTTTTTTCTTTCTAAAATGGGAAGCGTAACTTAAAATTATTTTAATTTTAGAGAATAAAGTTGTTGCTGCTTCTTCATTATTTCATATTTTGTTGGGGTTTTTTTTTAATGCTTGATGCAGTTGATAGGTACTCTCCGTATATACGTAACGAGAATTTGGTTGGTCCCACCTAACCATCACGTTGTGGGCCCCGCGTAAAAGAATTGACGGTTGAAATAAATCCTTGCAAATAATTGGCCACGTAGTTACTAAGCTTAACCGCTTCCACATTTTATTGGTATTCTCATTTTTGGAGGATTTTGGGCCTTTTTTTGGTCCAACAGATTCTCTATCCCATTTCCCAAAATAGGGACGGCGGAGAAAGAAATGAGAGTCTTCCCCAAATCTGCAGTATTCTTTAAATTTTTGGGGAGAGCTTTGTCATAAATGTTTCACGTTCTTCAAGTCTCTAACTACTCAAAAACAACTCAACACTATAAAATGAGAGGGCAAAAAACAAAAAATTCATGTCTAAATTTTTATTGTTAAAGTTCATGTCAAAAATGTAGAATATTTTTATTATTGTAATAAATGCAGGATTCTTCGAAATAGGGAAGCTGTTGGAGTTGGAGCAAAAATAATTAATTTGAAGAATATGACTTTTGTTTCCTCATTTTGGAGAAATTTTTGAGGAACCTGTTGGAGATGCTCTAAGAGTCTCTTATGAATATTTATGAATATAAAGGATGAATTCTAATTTATGGCGCTTTATTAAGTTACTTCTTGTTAAATTTGAAAAAAAGAAGACTTTCATAATTTAATCATGAACATGGCAACAATTAATTCTACTTTGAACACATTAAGCATGCTATTAACAAAGGATTTGGTCCAATGCCACTATTATCGGCTTAATCATAACATTTATAAACTTAATAGACTCTTAATCTTTCATCTCTCTAATCTCCAAATGAGGAGGAAAACCTTCATTTCCCCCACTTTTTGACTTCCTACACAATAAAGAACATTGTCATCATGTTTACTGCTCCAACTTAAGTTAGATTTATAAGCATCTATGATGAGTCATGTTGTCTTAATTCCTTCAATTGTAGAGAAACTAAATATGTCAACGAGGAAGCTAAGGGGATAAAAAAAGGGGGGAAAAAAGGAAAAAAAAATCTAATGAAGAAAATAATGCATCTAAAGTCAAAACAAGGTTCACTCATTCATCTCCCACCGTCAAGGTTCATGGGACTCCGGCCCAATGCAATGCTCCTCCGGCTCTTACTCCCAAGCGGAGCATACGGGCTTCGCTGGATTCTGCACGGGCCCACATGGCCGGAGACTTAGCAATACCTTTTAAAAAAAAATTATAAAGAAGAAGAAGAAGAAAAACTAAATTAAAAATAAAAATAAAAGGAGATGGATCTCAAGTGAGCAATAGATGATTGTAGACTCTATGCTTGGATTGGAGTGCGTTTGAAGATCTAGACTACTTGTTCCTAGGATCAGTAGTTGGAATATTCTCGTAATATTCTCTCATGTAAAAGCACTGGCATGAGCGTGAATCTATTCTTATGTAATAATGGGAGGGTCAAAGATTCACTATCCATACTACAGTAAACTACTGTAGCGTTATACAGGCAGAAGGGTCCAAGATGTACTATTTCATGCTATAATAAATTACCGAGAATTTAAAAATATTACTGTAGCATTTACAAAAACTGTAAAGACCGTACTTTGCACGAGGTGCACACCAGTAATATATATGATAAGTTTTACATTTGCATAAACTTCTTGTTCGAGAGTAATCGGGCCTAATTGAGGCTAATGGGTTCTAAGCAGACGCTAGGAAACATTTTTTAACCCAAAAACTTAAGCTACTGGATATTAATCACAATTTCTTTTTTAAACCTACCACTATTTCTTATCTTTTTTAACGTGGAACTATAGTCATACATGCACATTCCAGTGCTACTGTGATTATAGTTCGATTATCAGAGATTGTCCATTTTAAGACTTGCACTCGATTAAGTATATTAAGCAGCGAAGGAGTGAGAGATTGCGTAGAGAAAAAACAAAACGGAATGTAAACCGCAGAAATGATTGAACAGCACACAAGAATTTAACGCGATTCATTCGGTACTTGACTTGCATTCACACGCAAAGACAATTAATTAGGAGGAGCCACTAATCAAAGAGGAGATTATAACAAAGAAATCGCTTTCGAAAGTCAGTCAACCTCCTTCCTTCACATTGGACTGAATGTGAACTCACACACGAGGTTAATGTAAAAGGGAATGACTAAAAGTATATATTTTGATTTTTCATATTCATGTCATCAGTGTTATAAAATTAAAAAGAAAAATTCCCCAAGGACCCAAAATATGGGATCAATAGAGGGGACAAGTGAGGTATCCCCCTCCTATTGGATAATGAGTTGGTCATCATTAATGATGGTCAACTCATTATCCAATAGGAGGGGGACATCTCACTTGTCCTCTCTATTGGTCCCATATTTTGGGTCCCTGTAGCAAAGCTCAATTAAAAAAGATTAATAGAGAAGCCCAGATGGGAATATATACTCAAGTGACATTATTTACGAGCCGTTATCTTGAATTCCTATTCTCTAAACTCTCGTGGCGAAGTTTTGAGTTCAGAAACTTTACAAGGTGTAACAACCTAAAATTATATGCAACAAATGACTTAAAATATAGATCGAAGAGAAGCCAAATCAGTATTCGACATCCACCGAAGACAAATAGGATCTACACGAGATCCATCTCCAAAAATCCACGGTCAATTTCAATTTAATACTTTTCTAAGTTTAGTGTCTACTTCTGTGCCTTCAATATTATTAATACGTGATTGATGACAGCCATTACCTACATTTTTAAATTGCATAATCAGTGTACCAAGCAAGGAATAAATATCCATGCTTTTAACAGACAGAGAGAGAGGCGCTACAGGCACATTCTAAGGCACACCACCAACCACACTCCCTCCCTCTCTACAGTGCAGGGGACCCCACATGTGATTTTTAAAAAAAAAAAATCACATGTGAGCCCCCCTGCACTGTAGAGAGAGAGGGAGTGTGGTTGGTGGCGTGCCTTAGAATGTGCCTCTTAAGATATAGTACAACCTGCATTAAGCAGCCACAAAATTTAACATTTAAAACGTGTAAAAAATTGACTAGTTACAATTTCTAGATAGTTTGCATGTCTAAAAGATGCATATCACAATTCACGTCCAAGGTATGTTTCATGATTTTCGATTTGACAACCCTAAACAGAACAATACAAATAATTTTAATAAATTAAAATGATTATCGTATCTGCACATCTTTTACAGTCACCTTTTTCTCATGCAGAAACATACAAACAAAAGCCTGGAGCTAACCTGTCAACAGACCGAGAAATGCGTGACAGAAACACAATGGTCCTGCAGCCTGTTCACAAGACAATGTGGCAGTTTGCGCATCTTTTTTCTCAAGGAAAATTTGGCAGTTATAATTGAAAAGGAATCCAGAGAAGGACATCGAACTTTCAATACTTATCGCAGACCAAATACTTAGGAAAAGAAAACATTCACATCCCTATCTTGATGACACACATTTGAGCCTAGCGGTTCGCGTGAACCAAATGTCAAAATTTTCGCAGGTTCGGTGTTTGGTTCCTCTGAGAGGTACAAATATAACTAGCTGGCTTGTGGGTAGATGATATGCTGCTTTCATGCCTGGAGATGTCTTGTCCTTGATAGATTTAGGTCCCATTGGTGGTGGTGGTTTCAAGTCGACTTGAGGGCCAAAAATGGAAATTTAGTCGACTTGTAGCCTTCCAGAACTATGAATTTGACTTCTATTCATAATCATGGGAGTAAGATGGAAGCAGAAAGCAGAAAGCGGAAACGGAAATTTCAATCATGTTAGGAGGCCTGAGTGTCCTCGTGTTGCAAGATGCAAGATTACAGTTCCGTGTGACGTTATTCTATATCGTTATTTTATTGTAAAGATGGAATCAATGAAGTCTGTATACAATTTCGTAAATTAGCTTTCATTAAACAATTGCTCGTAATTATGTAAATTCTGTACAGATATATACACTATTAGGGGCAGGAATGGACCTTTCTGATACCTCATAAGGCCTTCTGATCAAGCCTCTCGTTCCAATTCAGGCATCTAATCAGACTTCGGAACCAATCTCCTGTTTGATCGCATTTATTAACAGTAGGGAGAGGATGCTGACTCATTGATATGCGAACAGAGTCGCCTCTGGAGAGTTGTTGCCTTCTTTTTCCATCAAATGACACCCATGCATTGTTCCTTGTATCGCTGGGAATCTGTTGAGGTTGCATAATGTTATGTTTGAGGAGCAAGATGAGCTTAAAAAATGAATGCATTTAAACAAAAAGACATCACCCAAACTTCGTAACAGTGATAGAAATGAAGTTAATGGCATCTAGGCGTAGACGTATGCCGTGGACCAGTGGTGAACTCAATTGTTACTAGATTACAAATCGACTCTACTCACTCATCTTCACTAGGAAACCTACTGGTCACAGTTGCAATGCCAAAACTAAACAATTCTTTTTGAATCCATATTGAAGCAACCGATAACACCTTATGGATGAACTAGTTTTTTATATAATCTTTTAGGTAAAAAGAGAAAACAGAGTCCTGAAGCTAACTTCATCTGGAGAGATTTCATCAATAAACAATAATACAGTTTGTGGAATGAGCAGATAGAATTCCATTTTCTAAGTGTGAAACTTGAACCAATCTAGAAATACAGTTCCATGACAGCACTACAAACCCATAATGACAGATTTTTTGGTCTTCCATTGCTGTCCTAACCTATTATCTCTTTTTACAGTTTCAAACTTAATGAGATGGTTTTGAGTTGAGGGTATTTTAGAAAAGTAGTGGGCCAAATTTCGGCTTCCAATGTTCATTGGATTTCAGCAACTCAACAGTTTCTGTATTGTTCAGTATGCACGCTTTTCATTCATTAATTTTGAGAGCAAAACAAAAGAGGATGGTGATGGGATTGGAGACATGATAGGGTGAAGGGGTGGCGAGGTAGGAAGCGGACATGGCTGAGGTTGAGGGCTGGTGACTTCAATAGAGAGGGAGGGAGGGTGGGTATGGACTGAGGCGAGGGATTGTGGGAGTAGTTGCTATCTGTTCGACTCAAATCTCTCAACAACAACAAAAAGTTTCATTTTACCAATCTCAGCAACTATAACAAGAACTGAAGTTGAAGGCTGGTGTTGGGCTGCCAGTGGTGGGATGCCAACACCATTTCTATGTTTTAAGCTTATATCTTGCTGAAACTGAAGGAGTTTGTTTAAAAGTTAATGTCAAAGTGGAATTTGGATGGCCTTACAGAATAAGTATTTTCATTCTGAATCAAGAGGGCACTGTCCCGAAACAATTCTTCTATACCTCTTGTCTCAGCAAAGATCTCACTAAAGAAGACATGGTTATCAAGCAATGGTTTAGTAGTCGTCTTACGATTTCTTTTGTGATTTGATTGCAGTGAATAGTTTCCAAAAAAAATTCTCTCTTTCTATCTGTGATGTTATTGTCCTGTATTAATATTTAAGTATTGAATATCTGTTGGCCAATTTGATGTGTGCTCATGGTTGGTAGAATGGATATCAAAGCTTTTTTTTATTGGTTCATATATACAGTTCAATTTAAGGTCAGATGTTTGGTTTTCACTGACTTTGTGCAATTGTTGTCTTTGACGTTTTGCTTAAGCACAAAAGAAGCTTCAAGTAGCAGTGATAGTTGGTCGACATTAATTTAGACCTATCGTTTCTTCAATTATTCATGAGGATACATAATTAGTTCATTTAATTGTTTCCCACTTTTTTCAATCTTTTTGACTTCTGTTGTTTCTTAATGTAACCATGCTTCCAACTTATACAACGCAGAATCCTCAAAGGGTATTCATGAGTGGTCTAAGTTTTACACTCATGAGTTTCACATGATATCTCATCAGGAGGCATTTATATGTTCTGTTATTGCAGCAGTAGGAATTTACTGATTTGGTAATTCCACACTAGCATACACTTTCAAGTTTCAAACCCCTTCTGCAAGCCAAGGTTGCAGGGGGATGAAAGCAACAAATTAATTGTGATAATTTCAACCCATCAACGTATGTTGCAATGAAGTCTCAAGTCGCCATTATTATCTATTTATCATCACTTACATGATAGAGAGAACAAATTGGCGATAAGATTGGTTAGAGATTTTTTTATTAAATCGGGACATATTTAGTGTCATCATAATAATTATTATAGACTATTGATATTAGCATTGACCCTTGAAAATTTCTATCCTTGCTATACTCATTAGTAAACCCATTAGAGGAATGGGAGAATGGGAGATTCAACTAGGACTGAGACCCGGCTTAAGGTGGTGGGTTTCAGTTCAAAAGTCATGGGAACCTAATTTTAAGGAGAATTTGTTAAAAAAGAACACTTTTAAACATATTTAGCAAAATCGACCATTTTCCTAAATAATGTGCAAAATCGATATCTATTTGGCCACATCATCAAGGTTGGCTAAAAAGATATCGATTTTGAAAAAAATCATCTTCAAAATACACGGGACTACTAGTCCCGTGTAATTAGAAATTGCTAATTATGAAAGTGATTAAGCTCAGAATATACATGAGACTATTAGTCCCGTGTATTCATTCAAAAAACCCATTTTTTTAATCTCAGCCACCATTGCCCAACCCTCTTCTTGATCTCCGGTACCGAAACCTCCTCTCGATCGATTCGTCTTCGATTACTTCGAGAGGACCGTCAAGGCTCTCGATGTATGCAATGCAATCCGCAATGGAATCGATCAGGTCCTTTAATGGAGGAATCATCTTAAGATTGTCCTCGCCGCTCTCGATCCCAGTCACGGGTCAATCGGCGAGGGCCAGAAATGGCGAGCAAAGAAAGCGCTAACGGATCTCACCCTCTTGATGCTCAATGACAAAGAATCCGAATCCGTTATCGGTCATTGAAAACGATCCTTTGATCAAACTAGGGATCATAATCATCATCATTGTCGGAGTGGAAGCGGCAGTAGTAGCGGAGGTGGCCATTTCCGGTTGCTTTCTTGGATCATTTCTTGCACGTGGTGGTGGCGAAGGAGCTGCAGCGATCGGAGCAAATCTCAACACTCCGAGGAACAATGATATCGCTGTTCCCTGTGGCCTTGTGATTCTAATCTATACGATAATGATGATGATTTAGGGTCGAGGGCGGCCTCGAAGGCGGTGGTCAAGGGAGCCTCAAGAGCGGTGGTTGAGGAATCGGATGAGGGAGAGGACAGAGATGAAGAAGAAGGTCCGATGAGAAAGTGAGAGGTCGAAAATTTTAATTAGCGAGACTAATTACACAAGATTGGTATTTTAAAGATGATTTTTTTTCAAAATCGACCTCCTTTTGGCAGCCTTGGCCAAAGAGGTCGATTTTGCATATTATTTAGGAAAATAGTCAATTTTACTCATTATGTTTTAAACCCTGTCTTTCTTAAAAAATTCTCCTTTTAAGAATGCAGCGTATGACTCGGATGGGACTGATCTCGGCGTGATTTTGGTCAGTCATCAAAAGCTAAAACCATTCACTGCACATGACTATCTCTTGTAGATGAGAAACTTACTGACATCTAGTTTCATGATGAGTCAGGCCTGTATAATTGTTTCAACACGTGATGACCGAAGGATTCCATCTCTACCTCGATCATGTAATTGAGTAGGAAATGAGGCAACACATATCTAATTATAATTTACAATACTCTGATCATTTTTTTCACCTGACTTTGATTAGACAAATTATGTATTCTTTTTATTTGCTGCAAATTAACAGACATATATCCTCTAAGTACTGCTACTACTTCTAAGCTAAAATTACTATAGATATGGACATGCATACACTTATATTTGTAATAACAGAGTGCAACCCTTACGATTACTGACTTAAGTTTTTGTTACATACAACATGCATTATATCTGTTATCAAAATTGCCTAACATTGTTATCTCTTCACATTATGTCAAATTTCCTTTCGACATTTGTGATTATTGAAATGAAATCATTTCTGAGAAATCTGCTTCCTCCCTATTTAAATAGAGTTCCAATTCTCCCCTTCCCCAACATCGGGGTTGGTTCTACTTGCTAGTAATGATAGATATGAGAAATCTGAATGAAGAATATAATATAGACAAAGTAAGGGCAAGGAAATTCACCTTTAACTCAAGCCGAGCAGAATCAGGAAGTATAACAGGTCTAAATGATAGTGAATGCGGGCATATTGGTGTAAACAACATGCATGGGACATTTGGATGCACCTGCAAGTAACGAGAACACTTACATAAAGCGCTTCATAGTATAGAATCAATTTCATAGATATAGTTATAGCATACATAAACATGGCCGAATTCATATATTAGTAATGAGCAAATTTTAAGATGTAAGTACTAACATCACATCTCCACTTAACGAAAAGCTGAGTAACAGAAGAATGGGAAACAATACTGGAATTGGTGTGCTTGGAAAGGCTCCAATTGCTAAAAGAAAGTTAAAGATAGCACTGGGAAAGAGAGATTCACAAAGCATCCATAATACAGGATATGGTCCAGAGAGAAATCCATGCTGAAGCAGTTATAACATATTCCAGAGTCAAGCTACAGCTAATTAAGCCATGCTCTCACATCTATGAATCCAAGGTGAAAGGAGTATTGCTGAATTAGCACATCTTAATTAATTCGAATGGCATAAAATATTATTCTATAATTCTGATCCTCTTCACTAACATGTGATTGATGTTAAGGGATTTTCTGCATATAGTCTTGTGTATTCCACACACTTTTCTGAATTTCCTACGTCTGTGTATATGGGCTGTGCGCGTGCGCTCATGCAGGAGGTGTAGGTAGGTTGGGGGGAGGGGTGTGAGTGTGTGCAAGCAACACTTAGCATATCACAGCCAAGCAGAATCCTAACCACTTTACTTTCTGAAATCATAATCTAGAGAAAACTCATTCTAACTTGGAGCATCATTTTTCATTTACTTTGCTCCATTGAAAATCTAAAATGTTCACAACGTATAGAGAATCCCAATCATGGACTTGAAAACATAAAGTAACGTGAAACATCCAATATTCTTTTCTAAAAGTCAGGGAAAGATGTTTTAAAACAACTGGTAAACAATAATTCCAGTAACAGTAAAACATGCGCTAAGAAAATGTTATGGCCAGTGGCAATAAGTAATTGACATGGAAATTTAAAAATATTGCTGATACAAAGTTCATTTAAGAAGAAAAAATCTTCTCCACACTCTGAAGAAGTGAGAACATCAAATATTCATGTAAACTTAGATGAAGAATCATATTAACTAACCATTGAGCCACCTGCAGCTGTTGAATATGCTGTACTTCCAGTAGGAGTGGCTACTATAACTCCATCGCCTTGAACCTGGATGCAATTGGTTTTATCAGACACTAAACAACAAAGATCAAGAATTAATTACGCCACATTAAAACTCTCTCATATAACATCAATTGATCACAAATTTTATTTTTATTGTTTCCCAATGATGTAGGGTTTAAACCTCATCAAGCAGTTGTATATTTAAAATAATTCAAACTGATCTTAAGAGCTTTTTAGTCCATTGACAACAGAGTTATGAGAATGAAAGAGTCCTCAAGAGTTAAAGATAAAGCAAAGATCTAATATGCACTCCAGACATTGATAAAACAGGTTTTTCATTTTGGTTTAGGACTCATTCATCAACTACCATTTAATACCCCAACACTCCGCTCTCATTTAAAAAACATAACAGATGCAGCATATATTAGCCAACGTGGTTTTATACACATATACATACATTAAAGTTATTAATTAGCAGGAAATCTACGTGGAATTCAAGGGGAACAATGTGTCAATATAGATCCTTAGGAGTTTAGGTAAACGCCTAATATGGGAGTGCCAATATATGTGTGCATCAGCAATTGTGACAGATGCTTAGCCACAGTCAAGCTTACGCCGAGCCTTTTTAGCCAAGTTCAATCCAACAGCAAGTGAACAAGTCATTCAATTAGTAGAGTGAGTTTACAACTTGATAATGCTCAAACTCTTCTAATAAAGCTGTTCCTCAAGCTCTCAGAGGCCATTTGCAGCCCAAACCCTGGCATTAACATGCAGTTACCTTTTAAGAGCCCTAGGACAATCACTGAGGTAATAGTCAATTGACGGTCCCAAATTGAAGATGCGTAGACATATCTCAAGAAAGTATACAAACAGCATGGTTTCTTACCTTGGTTATAAGGCGGTCGTGTTCATAGCATTCAATTTTGGAAAGGTATGGATTAGAACCACGATCTACAACAATTTCATTCAGCACATCAAACACTTTCCCAGGCATTGGTCTTCCATTTCGGAAAACTTCACAACGTAAACGCATTCTGAGAGTGATGTAAACTCCATCTACCGTGTTGTTACCATGGATCACGGCTCTCAAATCTCGCTTATATTCCTCAAACTGCAGACAAGAAACTCTGGAAGTCAGAAGAATTTTACATGAGTGATATATTCAGAAATTGAGAAAGTAACGTACGGTATGTGATGTGAGAAAACCAAGAGATCCAAGATTGAAGGAGACTACAGGAGGGACTGCACCTCTGAACAAGTTAGATGCATGTAGAATTACACCATCACCTCCCAAACACGTCACAAGGTCAACTCTCTCATGAAGATCACTGTATTATATACACCTAAAAGCAGTAAGTAATAAATCTGAGATGGAAGCACAACTTTCAGCAGATTCTCTCAGTTCCATGAATTCCAGTACCTGGTATCTTGACTATAAAAAGTTTGGACAAAGCCAAAACCCGGAATTCTTGCAAGTATATCATGTACATCAGGTTCTACAAGTACATTCATATTTTCTTGATAATGCAGGAAAGTTGCAACCTACAGATACAGAAGAGCAGCTAAAATAGCTGAAACAGCAAAAGAATAATATGAATTATGAGACAGAAGAAACAATAATCAGTACCATCAGTATCGCATCAAAAAATTATGGTGTAGTTGAATGAAAATTGGCGGGGGGGGGGGGGGGGGGGGGGGGGCGGTAAACATACTGTGTGACACATTATAGTATATGCTAGCAACGCTGAGCAGCTGCTTCCTACTTCATAGAGCTGCAATATAGCGCATATGCAGCATGGATCTATATTAATATATGATACATGCTTCCATGGCATAACATATATATGGTAGTCTTTTGTAGTTTTTGAGTTGGTAAGGCATGGTATATTATCGGGTCATAGTTGTCCTAGTCTCCCCATACCCAAATCCCCCTCTATCATGATGAGTACGAGTGTCAATCGGTCATGACGAGTATGGTTGTCCTATAAGTGTATGACATTATTCCCCTTGCCATGACAATAAGCATAACCATATCCATCAAGTATTACATCCTAACTATCTCAGCTTGGTGTTCTCAGCCTATCATTCTTATCATTAACTCTTCTCTGATTAATCCCTAGCTCAAGTTTTCATTATCACTGGTATGATGTTACAATACCAGTGTGCGCCAATAGAAAGTGCAACAAAGCCTACTATGATATGAATTAAGTGACAAACTTGACACTGTACCTCTTTAGCTTCTTCCATGAGCTCTTCCCCTAGCTTTTTCAGCAATAATACAGTCTTTGGAGGAGATTTCCACATTAGCATCTGCTGCTGGGTGCTTGGATGGGTGAAAGCCAAAGAGGATTCTGTTACCTTTTCCCTGGTACAAGAGAATCCATCTGTACGCACTAAAAACATCTCTGCTTTCTTTCTCGATTGAACTCTGACTACTCCAGTTGCAGAAGCGCACATATCTCCCTCCACAACATCCAAATCTTTTACAGAACCAGTAGAAAATTTATCATTAGTCCTTTCGTTTTTGGCTATTGAGCTTGATAAAGCTTGTTCGCTTGGTTCAATTGTGATAGTGCAACTTTTCATTTGATGAAAACCATTCACACTCGCTCCAAAAGCTGCAGAGCTCCTCCTGTCTAGATGTTTCCCATTGCTCACATTAGCAGCATCTGTTTTCGAAATGACCTGCCTACCACTAGATATTCCATTTGAATTTTCTTGTAGTATCCTCTCAGACAGCTGAGGATCCACGGTTTCATTATTCTGAACAGGCAAGCTCTGAGTACTGCATGAATTAGGCAGCATTTCAAACTTCTTCTGGAGAGGTCTAACGTATGATTTAGGTGAGATTGTTTTGCTTTTGAAAAAGATTCTCATTTCCTTTCTGGAGAAAAAATCACATGTTGGAAGCTGTGCCTTAAGCGGGTTACTTTCCAAAGAGATGTTTGCAAGAGATTCCACCAGACTACCAGCAGCTCCGTGGCTTGATGTGGAATCTACAGCAAGTTCATGGGCCACCTTCCCATTATAGTGGCCATTTTCAACAGAACTTTCCTGTTGCTTGCATGTTATACTGAGATCATTAGTTGAATCCAACTTAGAAGTTGACTCAACTTCTTCATCAAGAAGAATCCCTCCTTTTGGTTCTAAAGAGAGAAGATTATGCAGACTTGGCTGCTCTGCACTCTTACCTGTATTTGATGGCTTTCCATCAGAACTAAGAGGACCATTTGAAATGGATCTCATTGAAGAGCGTGTAATGAATTGCCTCCATCTTGAAACCATAGCAGAAGGCCTATTAACTCCTTCCTGACCCTGAAGATAAAGTGGCCTTCTGTTGGGATCTGATACCAATGAAGCAAATTTTTCAACCTGCTCCCTTGAGGGAGCAACTCCAATTTCAACTGGAAGGTTCAAAACCACAATCTTTCCACATGAAACAGCTTGCTCAACAGCATGCCCGTAGTATTCATCTTTGACAGCGTCCTCTCTAATATCTACGATAGTCTTAAAACCCTTCTCTATTAACCAATTCAAACCTTCATCTGTTACTTGCCCTCCCCTCCAAAATGCTACCTCATGATCTCCCAACGCGGTTTCTTGTTTTTTGGAGGAGAAGTATACAGGGCCCCAGTTTGCAAAAAGTGTGGGACAGGGATATGCATCTCCACGTGAAAAGCCAGCATCATAGCAAACATTCTTCAGCCTCTGCAATCGCCTCCAGATACTAATGCTCCGGTCTTCAAATGGTGGCAAATAGCTTGAGAGTGCAACTTGCAAACTCTCACAACATCTTTTCATTTCATTTCTGAAAATAGCAAGTGGCGGGAGTTTCCCATCTACTAAATTTACATCTGCAATCTGAAATGAGTTGGCAAAAGACGATCTTCCAGAAAGGACATCTTCTCTGCCTCTGTTCAGTAATGCTACCATACAGCCTATAACTGCAACTACCTTGTCTTCCAATAGCGTCATATCCTCTGAGGTTGTATCATAGGAAACAGCACATTCTCCTGTCTCTGGATTGCAGAGAGTTTCCATTAGGACTGTATGGAGTTGCTCCGAAGCTCTAAAGATTCTACAATATGCTTCAACTTCTGCAATGTCACCAGGGACAGGACCAACCCACAGCAGTTGTGACAAATCATTGGTGTGGAAGGACTACAAAACAAAAGGTCTTTTATTAGCTTTTGAAATAAGCAACGATCGCAATGAAGCAGGTGAGTTGAAATAGTCAGTTTGGATCTGATACAGTGGTGGTGATACCAGCAGACTACAAAGAGTGCAAGACCAAGATTTTAGTGCAGCCAAAAAGGTTGAGGAGGTCAAGCTATGATTCTAGTGTACATATGTCTGGTGAACCAACTTACATATGATTCCTAGTAATGATAAGTTGGCCTCTTGGTTTGCCTTTTGGATTTATAGTCTGTACCAAGGTTTGAATATGCAAAGTCCTTACAAGAAAGGTATTATTCTAGGATAAGTTGGGAGATGCCAATTGCTAAGGAGCATTGTTCGATGACCGACATTTCGATGGAAAATGGTTTACATAATTATGATAATTTCCCATTCAGCGTATGTAATTAAGCGAATAAGACAGTATGCCTACACACTCACCCACACATAAGACAGACATGTTGTAGCTTCTATGGGCACTATGTCTCAGTTTCACATTCAGATGCTCTACAAATAGAAACGATTCCTATAACTATGTTGAGCTCATACCAGCTATGGAACATGGATAAACGATGGTGGAAAACCCTAAAAAACCCAGTATACTAATAGGTCACGGATACCAAATTATATCCATCGTTGAGCTAGGCTACTATTAATGGTGTCCAATATGCGGATACTATAGACCCAATCTTCAAATTCAGAGTCCGAAATAGAAAATCCAAACCGGTGGAAGTGATTCGCTACACACAAACTATCTAGAAATAAAATTTCAAAGGATTTCGGCTTTATTAACCCATGGATCATACGTCGCCAAATTGGATGGTAAGTCGCTTAATTTTTCTGCCCCTCGACACACGATTCAAAGCACATCGAAACCCTTTGAAATTTTTGTTTCCAAGTAGTTCATTTGCAGTAGATCATAATATCCATTGGGTTGGATTCTAAATTCTCCAGCATGGAAGCGGACAAGTTACATACATCCATCTGAAGATCTTATACTAGCTTCTAAATCTAAAGATACATTGAGATGCACCTAAGGTTTCCATCGACCATCATCGAATTTGGCGAGGCTAAACGATTTGAACATGCAGGCATAAGTTGAAAGAAATCAAGCCGCTAGCATTGCAGAAAAAAGAGATCAAACTTCAAATCTGAGGTCATCACCTGAGAATCCAAACCGATTGGAGAAGACAAGAAACTCGAGAGCCGAGCTCCGACGGCGACCGACCTCATCGGAACCCCCCGATTCCACCATTTCAAGAGCCGGCGGCGATCGCCGGGGGAGAACGCCGACGACGAGATCTTAACCAGGGGCCCGTGGGCTCCACAAGTCCACAGCATCGAGGCTCGACCCGAAACCCTCGGCAGTGATGATCAGCTGGAACTTTTGGATTGTCTGTTGGTGAAGTGGATAAAGATTGGATTTTTCGTTGTTTTTTCGTTCGATTTCTTGATATTTTTCTGCTGCGGATTTTCCTGTAGACGGGTGTTGGATTGGATTTCGGACGCAAATCGATTCCCTCCACACAAAAACGAAAAAAATGAAAAAGTAAAAAAAAAAAAAAAAACGGCAAAACAAAAAAAATCTGATGTTTTTTGCTAGGAGTACTTGTATGTCTGTAAACTATGGGTGTTAACGGAGCATATACGGCTCGCATATCACACTTATCATATCCATATCCGCTTACCCATCTCGAATACGGATACGGATATGGATTTACGTCGGTAAGAAAAATTCATATCCATATCCGTCAAAATCGGATACGGTTACAGATATAAATCCGGATATATAAACGGATATGCATGCAGATACAAAAAGAATATGAGAAAACTAGATATTATTCAGAAAAATATAGTCATGTGATACAAAAAGAGTTCGTTAATATGTTCATTATGATTGAAAAGCTAAAATTAGACATCTTGATCATCAAAATTAACTACAAATCCATAATCTAAGAATCGAAACTATCGTAAGAGTATGACCAATATGTATTCAGATATTTTCGGATACGGATACGGATATTTCGCTACAAAACCATATCCGTAACCATATCCTATCGGTTATATATTTGAGTAACCATATTCGTATCCTAACGGATACGGTTACAGATATTTCCTCGGATACGGATACAGTTTGGCACCCTTACTGTAAACTGTATGAAATTATGACTTCATTTCATACTTGCTTTTCAGCTTGCTCTAGTCATACCCGCACAAATTTTGAAAAGCAAAAAAAAAAACAACATTTTTGAAACTTATTTGCCAGAAGCGATCTAGTTTTAGCTAACTGACTGAAATTGTGTCGTTTTTGGCGGAAAAAAAATACCAAACTTCACGGGAGTTTTGTTATGTAACAAAACTTCACAGGACTTAAAACAAACTGGGTCGTTTTTGGCAAATAAGTTTCGAACATGTCGTTTTTGATCAATAAGTTTGGAAATGGGTTGGTTTTTAAAATTTGTCCCGCAAATGAAACATACATACCGACCTTCTATAGACGGTAAGGATTGAAAGGATCGAACTCTCCTCAGAACCACATAGTTAGAGAGAATTTGAGTTCTCAACCACTCATGCTGCCAAGGCCGTGGCTCAAATTCCATTTGCCTAATCTAGAGTGTGGGGAATAAAATGGGGGACCCACACTCCCGAGGCTTGCTTGATAAGGGCAGATGATCGAACTAGAGCTTTCGGTCTAGGGAAAAAAAACATGAACATCTACATAACATTGCTTATTTGCTAGAAGCGATCCAGTTTTAGCTAACTGGCCGTTTCAAACAACATGTTTGAAACTTATTTGCCAGAAGCGATCCAGTTTTAGCTAACTGGCTGAAACTGTGTCGTTTTTGGCGGAAAAAAATACCAAACTTCACGGGAGTTTTGTTGTGTAACAAAACTTCACAGGACTTAAAACTGGACCGCTTTTGACAAATAAGTTCCGGACATGTCGTTTTTGATCAATAAGTTTGGAAATGGGTTGTTTTTTAAAATTTGCCCCGCAAATGAAACATACATACCGACCTTCTATAGACGATAAAGATTGAAAGAATCGAACTCTCCTCAATACCACATAGTTAGAGAGAATTTGAGTTCTCAACCACTCTGCCAAGGCCGTGGCTCAAATTCCATTTGCCTAATCTAGAGTGTGGGGAATAAAATGTGGGACCCACACTCCCGGGGCTTGCTTGATAAGGGCAGATGATCGAACTAGAGCTTTCGGTCTAGGGGGAAAAAACATGAACATCTACATAATACAAATTTTCCACGATACAAATTTTATTGGTGCAGATAGGCCCCATGTACTATTTGCCCAAATGCACAGACTTAATAAGTGATATATTTTTCTTACTCTTGTTTTTTTCACACGGAACTTCGAGCAGGCTCCTGAGCAGACTCATGAATTTTATTGAGGAAGATGACATAAAAAGGCCGCTAAAGGATTGCAAAAGGAGAAACAGAGGATTGTTCTTTGGATACATGAGAGAAACATTACATTACAGAACTATCTTGAGACTTTTTTCAAAAAAAAAAGTCTTTTAAGAGAAGGAAAAGAAAAAAAAAACTCAATGATCAATCCGCAACAGTAGAATGTAAAGAGAAAGAGCTACATTTTCATTACAACAGTTTTAAATGTATTCTTACATTTACATACAGCAACCCACTAACAGTGCAAAAGGGAGCATGGACAACATCGCATTGATCTTCTGATGCACATGATTTGGCGCACATGAACTCTCACCCGCTTACAGCGATGATACAACATTGCAAAATGAAATCAAAAACATATATTTTCTGCTTTTCGATATTCTTTACAGGTATATCTTATGCCGAGGGTTGCAGTATAATGCTCCTGAAATGGTCAATTCACGCCCTATCGCCTCTTGATAAAGATACAAGGTACAAACATAAAATCAGAGAGAATAAAAAAAATGGGGAGGGATACCACCTTACGAAGCTCGATTCACTTGTCTGGAGTCAAGGTTAGGTTTTGTGATCGAACCCTATCGATTATCTTTTGTCTTCCTGTTAAATCTTCTTCGTACCCCACAACCTGAACCCAGAGATGCCATGCTTATTTTAACTGCAGTGACAATAGTACAAGAAATAAAGCCATGAACGATCACAAACCTGAGACTCTGTTTGTGTTTCACTGAAAGAATCAAAACCGCCAACTTTTCCTTCATGGCCTACACGATTTGGAACAAGCTCTTTGTTCTCGGTTCTGTTAAAATGTGATCAAAATCAAGCTGGATCAGTATCGATAGGGACATTGAACAGAATTACTCCGTAGACCAACTGACCTATTTAACCAAAGTCTCGAAATATCATAAGTTGAGCGGGGTTTTGGATGATTTTGACCAAGAATAGATGAGTGATCAGATGAGAATATCTGCAGCTAGTGTTAAGGACCACATATGCAAGTATGAGAGCTATTGGACGTGAGAGCGGTAAATACAAAGGATACACTTTGATCACAACTCGACGTGCCAGGCAATTTCATGTCTTGGATCTAGGATAAAAACCAGAAATAGAGCGAGACAAAGTTAATAATGAAAAAAAATTTATAGAAATGCCTCACAGAATCAAAGATGTTCAAGCCAGTACCAAATTTGACTGCGCTAACAAGTCCTCGATAGCATCTGCCACATCAGGAATCGAATTGGAACCACCTTTAACATCTTCAGGAACCTTGCTCTTTTTAGATGCATCACCTTCATTGTTAGATTCAGGTAATCTTTGCCTTTTTCCAAACGTACTAGAGTTAACTGGATTTAACAGAAGTTTTGTCAATCAATCCTTGTGTGCTCTACTTGCTCCACGGGAGCAAATTCAGAAGACTGAGCTTAACTTTATCGGTTACTTAAATATTAGTCCCTAAAATCTTCAATAATTCCATATTGGTCCCTCCAATCTTTGAAATTGTTCATATGTCCTTCAAATCATAAGGGCTCTTGCAATTTGGTCGCTCAGTGACCAAAACACCCCTCAGCTATTTTTTTTAACATGGGTTTGGGGGGAAACATAAGAGGGTATTTTGGTCATTGAAAGACCAATTACAAGACCCCTTGAGGGACTTATGAGCAATTTCCAAGGTTTGAGGAGCTAACATGGGATTATCAAAGATTTGAGGGTCTAATATCTAAACCTAACTTTATCGAAATATAACACATACCAGTAGTCCCTTTCAGGCTACTCATTGGCCCCTGAGATTGACTAAGCAATTGTTGTGGTCCCGAAACCATGTTAGCTGCTTGTGTAGGATATTGACTCACAGTGCACAAACCTGCTTCCTTGTCCTCAACAGTGACTGGTCTAGGTCGAAATGCATCAGGAGGAACCATCTTATCCTGCAACCATGCGGAATATAGAATTACAACAGGGCCTGAATAAAATATGGCTCTCAAACAACATAAGCGAGGAAAAGTACCTGCGTGATGCATTCAGTAAGCCACTCTGCAGTAACTGATTGAATCCCCCAGTTACAAGCAGCCTCATACTTAGGACCATTAGTGAACTTACAGATTAAATGGGTAGATTTTTTGGTCAGCTTGGATGAGAATTTAGCACCAAGAGCAACAGATAAATTCTTCAACAACAATCTATCCTTCTCTTCATATTGAGAAACACAGAACCGAAGGCATTCAAAGCCAGGTAGCGGAATATGACAGCACAGAGGCGAGTAAATAATGTGACTTTGAATATCCAGCATGCAACCATCCTTCAAGAAAAAGCAAACAAACCATTAACATTGATGAATTGGTAGCATACTCTTTGGGATAAAAGAACTACCAAACAATAAAACACCAAAAAGAATATAAGATCCTTCTGAAAAGAAGAAATCTTCATACTAAAGAACAGTTAGAATAGGAATTTATGTACAAGAGCTCTTACGAAGTTCAATGTCGCCAACATTTTTAAGGAACAGTAACAAAAATATTGCCTGTGTGCCTTTTAGAAAATGGTTGCCACATTTGAATTCCACAGGCCATTTACCACAGGTTATGAAATTAAATTCACACTAAGATCCAGTTAATCTTCTTAATTGGGTTATTCATAATAAAATGTTTTATAATAAATAAATAAATATAGCTAAAAGTTAACTGGTGCTTAGAGTCATATTAAACAAATTTATCTAGAAGTCTGCAAAAAATAATTTATTTTGCTTATTACACAAGTAAAAGGACTCATAAGGAACATAAAGGAATAGACATGTCGTACAAACTACGAAATGAAAAGATGCATATTACTGATGTCAGCACAGAGACGTTTTCCAACATACATCTAGTGAAGAGCGTATCCAATGAGTGGAGACAACAATAGAGTGGGATACATCAGTAGCAGATTGAAGCAGACCATGGCGCTCAACAATGAAATCTGCATTCTTTTTCCTTTGATCATCCACCAACATTCCTCCGCCTTCATTAATCCATCTAATGACTTCATCTCTCTGGTGAAGAAAAATGTAAAAGAAAACTTCAGATGATATTAAACTAACAAAATCAAGAAAGGAGGAAATGAAAGAAGCTGATTAACCTGTTCCGTAGGGAATGAACGAGAAAAGCAGAATGATTTCCCCTTAAAGATGTCGGATGATCTGCTGTTATGGGCGCTCAAACTGTAAGACTTCGGTTCCATTCTGCAGGCATTTTTTCGCTCATTATTCATCGCAGGTAATTGTGCAAGAGGATCATATTTAGTTGCTGCTTCTGCATAGCTACCATTATTTACATGATTTCCGGACTTTTCTCTCCATATTCGACTCTCTGGTATCAACTGTGCTGCAGACAGTTTACCCTCAGTTGGTGGACCTATGGGCATACAAGGAACATAAGTGGAGCTCGTTGCCTTCTTGATGTCAGAAACGTTGCAAGATCGATCTATACCAGAAGATGTACAGTCTATGAATTAGGGAGTCAAATTTTAAAATAAAAAAGATAACAATAATGGTAAGGTCCTATGATCAGGCCATTATGTGCATTGAAAATAAGGAGCACAAACTGGTAATAACTTTTTTTAACATATTACATGGCAAAGATCTAGAAGGACCACCAAAACGATTCAAAAAATACCTTTTGAGAATAGTAGCTCCACAGCAACGTGCCTTGAGGATACAGAAAGTTCTTTCTTTGTCCGATCACATTCTTCCAGCCAGGAGGATTTTACCACATGGATGACACCCCAAGCAGCCAAGCGCCGGACTTCTCTTTTTTCACTATTAAAGATAATAACTTAATTAATAACTGTTGACTCTGCTGTTTGCAGCAAAAAAGAAGAAGAAGAAGAAGAAGAAGCTACAATTTTAGAATATAAATCGAGAGAGATATGAATAAAAAAAAGGAAATATTAACTAGTTTAGACTGTCTTTCCTCAAACCCACTAAGAAAGATTCTGCAATTTGATAAAAAGGCCATATTTCTGTTTCGGAATCTTCAGCAACCGACAATTCATAGCTTCGACTCCTCATTTGTTCGCTAGCGATTAATGTTTATCACATGATCATGTGAAAAGGAAGAAGCTATGTTCTGTGACAGTGTAGCTTCAAGGTCTTCAACTGCTGGTCGTGAAGCAGGCTGAGAAGACACGTTACTGAATTCTTGATAACATTGTTCTTTCTGCAAAGTTTTCATGCCATTACATGATTTAGGAGTTCTATCAACGGCATAAGGCCCTTCATCTAGACAACCTATAAAGTTACAATGGAAAGATGGTAAATCAAAAATTATATTGGACAGAACAAATAGTACCAAACAAATGACTCTATGAAGTCAACTGAAGTAACAACTAGTTTCAGTACATAATGCAATGTGCACACACACATTACAGACACCGAAAGAAAAAAAAAAGGTTGGAAAGAAACGAGAGACTGCAACATATCTCCGCCCACCCACACACACACACACAATATTCACGTATACATGTCGTTTATAAAAATAAGAAATTAGAGATTGACCAAACATACCTTTTTTAGCGATACACTGATCAATCCATTTGCGTGTAACAACATGAATATGGCCCCATCTTTTTGCAACCACATACTTGTCACCAACAGGAGCGTATTTAGTGTCAAGGATACAGTGAATGATTTACATATGAGTTGCTACTAATGGAGTTGAGAAATGGGAACATTAAAAATAAAAATCATACGAGAATGGAAAATGATTCCAATTCACATCATAATCCAAAAAAAAGCTGCTTAAAGAGTTGCAATCAGCGAGACCACGCCGATGAGTGAATGAATACAAGATCTACTATGTTTCATTAAACATGGCAGTCTACCAGCTACTTAATGTCTTTACCAACTAACCACGCCGTCATTGAATGAAGGATCTCCATTATAACGGTGTGCATGCATGGGAGTCTGCATGCGCGCGTGAAGTGCATGTGTGTGTGGTGTGACTATGTTGCGATGGCTAGAGAGTAGAGAGAAACCAATTCTATTATCTACTGAGTAAATGAATTTTCCTTCTTCTTCATCCTCCTCTTAATCTGAGAAATGCAACATCACATGTCCTCTTCTGCATTGGTTGACACAAGCAACACAAAATACCAAATTCAATAATTACTTCAGCAAAACCTTCTTGATGGTTGCAACAGCATTCAGAAACATTACCTTCAAACTGATTGAAAGATATCTTAAGAGCAAAACATGAGAGAGATAAGTAATGGAAGAGCTTATAAAAATTGTCAAGTGCAAATTACAGATTATCGTGATAAAGGATATATCTGAAACTAAATGAGTACACTTCTTTGTAAGATCAGCAGAATAACGGCCGCCATTCTGTACAATCAGCTTCTCGATCTCCTTTCGTTCATCTGCAGAAATCAACATCTTATCACTTGGACAATAACAATCACCAAAGCCAACCTATTATGGATGAGGATACTGTGGGAAATATTAGCTCAGCATTGATGCCTTCAAATTTTTTAGGGATACCACACCACACCAACAAATTTATCACTGATAAATCCAATTCAGCCATCGATTATCTTCTCAAGGGAGCACACTAATTCTGGGAAGTAGCTATTGTTCCCAAGGAGCATTACTAATTCTGAGCAAGGCGCTAGTGTAACCAACTGTAGAGACTAATATAAGATAGTTGTCATTCCCCACTACATAGGAAGATAGATCATTACATGCATTTTTTTCTTACCTGGAGGAATTCTAGTGACGCAAATTGTCAAGCCAGTAAAAGGAAGAATTCTGAAAGGCTCCTGAGGCACGACACGATGCTCACTCCAACACCGATGTAACCAGTTCAGGTCGAGAATAGGTTTCTTAAGAACATTTAAAGCATACTGCAGGAAATCCAAAGTTGATTCAATGTTATTAATTAACCATGAGAAAGTATTATTAATATAATAAATTCAATGAAAGCTGAAGGAAATAAAAGAAAATTTAGAAACATCAGGATAACCAAACAGTAAAAATAGAACTGTATAAGGCACATTGTTTTAAATATCGGCCGATAATCGATATTATCGGCTGAGTTATCGGATTTTTGAGATCTCCACTAGGATAAGTTGGCTTTGTAATCGGTTATCATTTTGGAGAGATTATCGGCGAGTTATCGGCATTATTGGCACTTATCAGCCGATAAGCAAGGCTAAATTATCGGGATTATCGGCCATGCATTTTGAGTTGAGTTGTTGAGTTTTTAAAACCCGACCCGACCCGTTTTGTTAATAATATAAAACTTAAAACCCGAAACTTTGTGAATCCGACCCTCAAACCCTAACTTCGTCTCTGGCGGCTACTCCTTTTCTCGTAGGGCGCTTCCTCCGTTATCTCCATCTCATGTTCTCTGCGCCTCTTCGTCGCTCGCCTTCGTGAACTTCAACTTTGAACTTCGTCGCTCACCTACCCTCTGTCAACCATGTTTTTTTTGTCCAGAAAATTGCTATATACACATGCTGTGAGCTTTCCTTCTCTTGTAATTCCTTCATGCACACACTTTCTCTTTTGAGTAATATCAGTTCTATAACTATTCTTTTATCATACTTTGCTTTTCTGTTTTTCCTGTAATAGAGACTTATATAAGAAATTAGTGAATAAACCGTACATAATTTGCTTTTCTATTTTGGTATGTTTATATTTCATTAAGCATGGTTAGATTACATTTTTTAGTTGTTATATTATATATATACACCATGCAGTATATTGCTCCGATAAATACTACTTATCCCCGATATATCTCCGACTTCCCCTATCCGATAAGAATTTTGGTCGTCCGATAAATCCCCGATAACCGATATTTAAAACCTTGATAAGGCATAATAAAACAGCTCATACTAGACCTATCAGAAAACCGCTACATTAGAAGGGGAAAGGAAACAACCGACTGAAGCGGCAAAAAGAGAATATCAGACCATTAGAATAAGTAATGATACCATAAGAAAGAATTTCTTCTACGTTCAGACTTGAAGAGCCACTCCTGAGTCTATTTCCATTGGTTACCATGTTAACGGATGTCCCTAGATCATCCTCAGTGAGGCCTTTCTAAAAGAACATGGTGTTTTAGTAACCTCTCTCATCCTCTGTCACAAAGTACCAAATTATATTTGACCTCCATAAATTAAGACATGGGACTTGATTCCTACTTGATTTCTTTTTAACAATATGCCTTGTGCTTTGCCTCTAAGCATGCAACTTCACAACAAAAGAGCCATTGTCTCAAAAGGTTGTCTGGACTACCTCCGCACATCATCAGGTCTAAACAGTTTGTGTGCTCCTAGATGAACACCTTTTCGAAAGCAATTCTGAATTAGTTCTTGTCCCTGTGTTGATACAGCCTTACTTTGCAGTTACAACATATTACAGTTAGCCATTTATCTTTTTTTTATTGACTCATAAAAATAAAAGGTCATTGCCTCCAAAATGCACTGAATGATTTAATATTACCAAGGGAAAAGCCATCAGGAGTACACAAATTAGAGAAGTTGATTCACACCTTCAGAATTACTCCCTTCTTAGATTACAGAAATGAAGTTCAGCTAAAATCAGATCGACCTGGTTAGCTAAGTTAGTAAGTTACATGATTTAGATAATGTAATACTAAGCAGGCTTTATGTACATGCATTAACACATGTTAGTCTTAGAATTTTCTGATGTGTATTCAGGTACTTCATATGCATTACCACTTCATACATTTGTATGCATATTTTAAATGGAGAGATACTATATACCTTATATTTACCAAAAAATTAGAATGAATTGCACTCGAGTTGGGTTAGTTACAGTTCATCTGTGTCCTCATTACCAGGAGACACTGCAAAAATGTCCTACAAATCTGAAAATTAGATTTCAATCCGTATACCATAAGCCCTGAGATAATTTTGGCTTTTATAAGTGGAAATGATTGCTAGCACCCAATAAATATTAATTCATAAATAATTAGCATCCACTTCCTCGTTAAATGAAATGACATAGAAAGCCAAACTTCAAACATGATGCAAAGCAAAACAGATCAAGATTGAACCAATAAGGACGCATGAAAGTATAATTCTTTGAAATGATCAACTTTTGTTTTTTGTCGAGAGAACAACATACTTTATACTTAGCAGCTAAAACATCCTTTACAACGACAAAGTTGACATCTAGGGATGCCCTTGTCTGCAATATCCCACCCATAGCAGTCACTAGTTTTTCGATTGTCACCTGTAGAAACAAACGGATACATAAAGAGTTGTTAAGAGATATGCTGAAACATCATGGATCATGTAAAAGGACTCAGATTTAGGAAAGAGTACCTAGTAGGATATCTATGTAAAAAGTTAGCAAGCTATAATAAAGTATCAGGTAATTATATTATGAAATGATGTTTTAGACTATGCGATGCTTGAACAAATAGCTATCTTATATTGTTGAGACATATCTACTATTTGCACTAGTATGAAATTTGCAGACAAAAGATTTCAGATAGTAAAGAACTGAAAATGGAATAAACAACAAAAAATATATAGACCGGATACCTTCTTGTCCCTTTCAAATCCAGAGGCTAGCACTTTAACGCCATCCATTGCAAGACAACAGGTATAACCTTGTTTAGGCAAAATTCTATGTTCTTTCGCACAGGAGAGAATGCATTGTGGCCCTGTAAAGCATTTTACATGAAAACTGAACAAGAATTACTGTGGCAGTAAAGTTCCCCCCGTATAAGTCATTTCCATGAAAGTAATTGGTAAATTAGCACTCTTGGACAGTGTTGGTCGTCAGCCTGACCAACCAGGGAGTGGAAGTCTAAGCATGAAAATAAATGGATGAAATGTTTTATTTAACTGTCCACTATTAAAATGCATACTCAATCAACTCAGATTAAACTGAAGAAGTGTGATGCAGATTCCCCCTTGTTTTTACACTTATGCCCTACTTCACAAATTATTTCCTTTCATTTATAGTCACTAAGCACTTTATCACCTTATTTGTTTATAATGCGATAAAGTGAGGGGGAAATATCTTTCAAGGTTCACTCAATCTAGTAGAACTTGGATATTGATCTTTGGTCATACTAGTTTATGTTGTCGATGTTGTACTCGTATAAAGGAACATTTTATATAATTTTAAACTAAATACCAATTGATGCTAGTTAGGGTCCATTAGTCCCACGTCGAAATCGCTAATGCAGTCAATTGTGGGCTATGTTACCTGGGTACTTCTAATCTGAAGCCATACCCATACCAGACATGTACCCATACGCAAACTCCTTGCACATTTGCACACATTTATTTGGACATGTACTCAATTAGACAATTCATGTTTTAATTTAAAACACTTGTCATACTTTCTTGGACACACATCCTATTCTTCACATCCAATTCTTGAAGTTCCGAATTATGATCTGGAAGGGTCTTTTTGATGTATAGTTCAAAAACTAGTGATTTTCCAATTTATATAATCCACATATAAAAAGAAACATAAAAATGTTATAGGAATTTTAATTCTCATACTTGTTCTCATATAATTTATTGAACCCAATATATAATATATGTGTATATAAATATTTATGTACTGTGTCCCCGTACCCAACCTTTTACAAAATTACCGTGTCCAGAACCCGTACACACGCAACATAGATGTGGGTTTAGAACGGATGTGGGTTCCCTCATTCTAACAGATGGCTTTTAGGGAAGAGTTCTCATATGTCTAATAGAAATGGTACAGAACCAGCCCAATCTTTCCAATTGCAAGCGAGCGATGTGGGAGGTAACACCAGCATCACTATATTTTCCCAGGACTAGTCTAGTGTAAAGACAAGGGGTGACACCGTGATTACAGTCTTCGATTGGGACTAGCCTCTAACGGCTAGCTTGACCTTGAGGCCCTTAATGGACTAGGGTTCAGGCTTCCACCCTCTAGTGACTAGCTTTTAGGAGTGACCTCATGCATTTTTTAGTATTCTATAAATAAACCTTTCTATATGCAATTTGAACTAGAATTCAAGTGATGCTGAAGTTCAAGACCAACTTGAACTTCAAAAATGACAAAGAGTTACAGACTTGAGTGCACAGTGTCCATAATCACTACAGAGAAACCTAAAGATTCAAACTTTTTTCTAATAGTAACAAAAAAATCACAAAAAAGAAGAGTTACCGAGGAGATTGCACCCCTTAGATTTGAGAACCTCGAACTTTTCCTGCACAAACAACCACTAGCTCAGTAAAAAAAACTAAGGAGAAGCAGCAACCAGAAAAGGGGACGGGATCTAGGGCTGACGTGGTCAGAAGAAGAGATGACGTGGAAATCGTCGGGGTTGTTTCTAGAAGGATCGCAGCAGAGGAAGACGTTGGCGCCGTTGAGCTTTAGGGCGTCGTGGACGGCGTCGTAGACCTCGGGAGCTACGAGATTGCGAGAGAGGAACACGTTGGTGCCGG